GGGAGAAGAGACTTGAGGGCCTGGCGGAAGAAGCATGAAGTGGGGTGAGAGGTGTGTCTCATCTATGGGCAGAGGAGGTGTTCCTGTCAGGGAGGAGGCAGAAAAGACATATCACTCCATCATTCCCCAGATCCCTGGCCCCTTCTGCCTTCTTAGAACGAGCTGGCTGCAATCTGTGAGGGGAGGGTGATAGTTCAGAGATGAGCACTTCTGGGAGGGACTGGATGACATGATGGGGGAGAAGAGACTTGAGGGCCTGGCGGAAGAAGCATGAAGTGGGGTGAGAGGTGTGTCTCACCTATGGGCAGAGGAGGTGTTCCTGTCAGGGAGGAGGCAGAAAAGACATATCACTCCATCATTCCCCAGATCCCTGGCCCCTTCTGCCTTCTTAGAACCGAAGACTTGAGTTTGTATGTGAGTTTCCGCCTTTGATCTTTTCTCCTCCCTCACTCAGGAAGTGCTCTCATCCCCTGGACTTTGATCAAAAAGAACAAGCTGTGGGGATGGGCAGTTCCAACATCTATGTGGCAAAAAGGTGGCTGCCAAAGAAAAGAGTTCTCTGGGCTGGCCCGTGGCTCACTCGGGAGAGTGTGGTGCTGATAACACCAAGGCCACGGGTTCGGATCCCATATAGGGATGGCCGGTTAGCTCACTGGGTGAGCGTGGTGCTGACAATACCAAGTCAAGGGTTAAGATCCCTCACTGGTCATCTTTTTAAAAACAAAACAAAACAAAAAAACAAAGAAAAGTGTTCTCTTAGTGGTGACAGGGGAAGGAAGTCTGTCTCTGGGTGGGGAGGTGTGAGAGTGAACAGCTCACCCCAGTTAGACCCCTGTTGGGTTTCATAGGAGCTGGCTGCTGAATGTAAGAGTGCAGGCTATCCTGGGACTTTGATCCCCTACAGATGTGACCTGTCAAGTGAGGAGGACATCCTTTCCATGTTCTCGGCTGTCCGCTCTCAGCACAATGGTGTGGACATCTGCATCAACAATGCCGGCTTGGCCCGGCCTGACACCCTGCTGTCAGGCAGCACCAGCGGCTGGAAGGACATGTTCAACGTAAGGGCTCCAGGCCTGGTGTGGGGGGCGGAGAGCGGGGAGCCAGGGCTTTGTGAACCAGAGGACTGCTGGGAATAGGACATCTAGGAAGGAAGAGGGAACTCTGGGTTCCCACCTGGGGCATCTTGACTCTCCCGTTGCTTCTTTCCCTGCTGGAGGGATAGTGAGTGGGTGAATGGCCACATCGTTTCAGCTCTTCTTTCCCTTGAACCCCCGGGGGTAGTTCTTAATTCTTGAGTGATTTCCTTGTGTTGGAAGAAAGATTAAATGTCTCCCACGTGTCAGCGCTGTGCTGGTGCTTAGGAACATGGTCTTATGGGAAGAAAAGGAACAGAAAGACAAGAGATGATGTTCTCACCCAGCCCCGCCAGTAACCATATGACTTCAGGCAGGTTAGTTGCCTTCTCTGAGCTTCAGTCTTGTCACATTTAACTGGAATGAACATACCTATATCATCAATATCTGGGGTCACGTACCTCAATGACCCCTGGGGCCGGGTCGTACATAAAGGAGTCAGGTGGGGCCTGCATTGCGAGGGAGAGCACAAGGCCACGTAAAGGGGCGGTGACTGCTCACATGCAGCCTAGATGCTGAATGGCAGCCCAGTGTGGCCAGATTTTATGGTTTCTTTGAGAAAAGTGGGGAGTCTATTTTTATGTGACACCCCATGTCCCTCATCCACTAAAATGTCAGCTCCACGAGGGCAAGGGTTTTTGTCTGTTTTATTCTCTGGTACAGCTCCAGCCTGTAAGCCATCCATAAATATTTATTGAATGAATGAAACTTTCTAATATATATTGGAAAGGGATTTAAAAAGTTTTAAAACCATGTACATGCCAAACACAGCCTTCAAGACACAGGTTTTCAATTTCTGGACTATATTATGGGGCGACAGTTGGGTGTCAAAGTGTTCTGAAAAGTTAAAAGCAGTATGTAAAGAGGATGCTTCTTTCCCCCCCACAATCCTTCTCACATTGGATAACAATAGATTTAGCACCTAATAGATGCTTGGGCCTGGAAATGAAGCAGTGAACAATGAAAATGAAGCTCTGCCCTCAGAGAGCCTCTGGGAGATCAGAGTCGTGGCCCTCATCTACAGCAAGTGGGCCTCTAAACCTGGACTTCAGTTGCCCATCTGTAAAATGAGTGACTTACATTAAATCCCTAAGGCCCCTTTCAACTTGAACGTTATCTAGGTCTATTAGGATCATCCTAGGAGGCATATTCTCCTCTCCTATCCCTGGCCCCTAGACCTAGGAGATTTACTCACGGGTCCCAGGGCATCCATTTCTCTTACTCCATCTGCCCACGGGAGCTAAGTTCTCTACTCCACAGACCCACATTGCTAAGAGGACAAGAAGTAGGGCTGAAAACGTCCCATGTCCTGGTACTCATCTCTTCCTACTGCCATGAATGCTGAGGCAGGTTCTCACTGAGAGTGTTCTGTTCCTGATGCCTGGCTCTGACACCTGATAAAGAGAAGCATCTAATCTCCTGGCTGATTCCCTTTCCTCCCAAGAGGAGAGACATGAGGACCTGCTGAAAGCTTTATCTCTGTTGTGCTTGTGGGTGAGGCCAAAGTGTGGGGCTGGGAAGGCGCTTTACAGCAGACACTTCTTCAGTCCTCTGTTCCACGAAGGCTTGGGATTTGGGGTCTCCTCTGCCAGAGGTAGTAGGAGTGGCTCTCTAAAGAGTCTCTGTGCCTAGTCTCCTTGATGGAACACAGGTTAAAGGAAGGTATAAAAGGAAGGAGGGACAGGCCTTCTCTGCTTGTAGTCTCAAGGAAGGGGATGGAAAAGGAGCAGAGAGTAACTAGGAAGGTGGGGAGAGGCTAGGGTCTGTGCTTGAAGAGAGAGATTTTAAAGCATTTTGGGAAGGATTTTAGACTATTTAGGAGGGAGTAGGGCTAGGGTCCCAGAGAAGAGGAGGGTAGGGTATTGCTGAGGAGATAGCCAAGACAGGGTCTCCTGGGTCACGAGTGGTTGTGAGGGGTTTCTGTTCCTCTTTGCCAGAACGTGGGGAGTCAGCCAGGAGAAGAGATACCTCTGCTGTCAACTGGGGGTGGCAGCTTTATGGGGGAGGGGCACCTAGTGAAGAAGACAAGGTGTCCTGGGTCTGTCTTTGGTCTCCATGAGAACCTGGACACTGTTTTGGAACTATACCCCCCACCACCTCCTCCCCGACTGCTCTGTGTCTCTATCACCTACGTAGTGGGCCCAAGCTGGAAACACCCCATTGTCCTCCCTGACCTGCAGGTGAACGGTGTCCTGGGTCTGTCTTTGGTCTCCATGAGAACCTGGACACTGTTTTGGAACTATACCCCACACCACCTCCTCCCCGGCTGCTCTGTGTCTCTATCACCTACGTAGTGGGCCCAAGCTGGAAACACCCCATTGTCCTCCCTGACCTGCAGGTGAACGTGCTGGCCCTCAGCATCTGCACACGGGAAGCCTACCAGTCCATGAAGGAGCGGAATGTGGACGATGGACACATCATTAACATCAACAGGTGAGGGTGGCTGGCCATGGGTAGAGCTCAGGTCACCACTCAACCTCCAGGCTGGGTGATATGCTGCAGCTCACTTGACCTCTTTAAACCTCAGTTTCCTTGGTGGTGAAATAGGGATGTAATACCTGTTTTATACCCAAATGGCACGATTATGGTGAGGGAAAGAATAATGTTGCCAAATGCCAGCCCTTGGTTGGCTGGAATGGGCAGCTCAGCCCCTTCACTCTGCACCTGAGGCCTGGGGCCTGTTCCGGAACTGAGCATCTCTATTCCTCAGGCCTTGGGATGAACCTTACCTCATGGCACAAAGAAAGACTACACATGCGCTGCCATCAGGGAGCCCCAGTCTGAGAGATATGGCCTCTGCTTGCCCCCAGAGATCTCCCAGTAGAACTGTATCAGTAAACACAAATAAAATGGAGAGATTTTTGATATCCTGCATGACCAGGAGAATGTATTCAGAATGTATTCTCTGGTCAGTGTAGGGATGTCTTCTAGGAGAAGGAGGGTTTTCAGGAGTTGCTTGAATAACAGGCTATATTAGTGGGCTGTGGGGTGGCCAGGAGAGGTCACTTCAGAAGGTGTCCCTGTGGGCACCTGGGTCGTGGGGTTGACCAGTACTGCAGGGGGAACTGCCTGTCTCTGTGGAGCTTCATTTTCTCTTCTTTCCCCTTCTCTCCCTCACACAGCATGGCTGGCCACCGAGTGTCACCCAATTCGGTGGTTCATTTCTATAGCGCAACCAAGTATGCTGTCAGTGCGTTGACAGAGGGACTGAGGCAAGAGCTTCGGGAGGCTCAGACCCACATCCGAGCCACGGTGAGGGTGTGGCCTAGCCCTGGCAGGGATGGGGTGGGCACAGGCCCTCCGTGTCCACACATACTGCCCAGGAAGCCCATGCCCAGGGTGTGCTGCTTAGAGCTCCTGGGAGTGGACTGGGTACAGAAGTCCTGCTGCTCCTCACGCGGCCTGCACCATCCTTCAGTTTCCTTCTTTCACTGATCCAGAAGCCAATGTCCAGACTTAGACTTTGAGGTAGGAGGGGGCTGGGCCAAGGGGAATACAGTGGGGTGAGACTAAGGGAAAGCAAGGAATTATGGGAAACCAGGTGCACAATGGCTAGAAACCAAGACTCTGGGCTCTCCCTTGAAGGCCATGTGATCATGGGCAAGTCACTGAACCTCTCCAAGCCTCAGTCTTCTCATTTGTAAAATAGAGATGATGATACCTATCTGGTTATGAGGTTTTAAGGGACATCACCATTTACTAAAACATTTGCTTGACATATAGGAAGAGCTCTGTAGATGGTAGGGGTCACTGTGATAATTGCCAGTGGAAGCTTTGGAGGGAGAAGGCAGTTGCAGGACATTGGGCAGCTGTCACTGTGAAGCCGGGTCCTGTGGCCGCACCCCCCACCTCCCCAGGGCCTGGTAAAACTCAGCCCCTGAGCAGACCCTCTCTGTTGGCCCAGTGCATCTCTCCGGGCGTGGTGGAGACACAATTCGCCTTCAAACTCCTCAACAATGACCCTGAGAAGGCAGCTGCCACCTATGAACACATGAAGGTGGGGCCTCCCTCTGGGCCTGGTGAAGCCACTCACTCCCTAAATGAAGGCAGAGGGAACCCTGGCCTTCAGACTCCACCCTTCTAGCCAGCTTGTTGCCCCTCCTGGAGGGTTGGGGTGGGAATGTGGATGCTGGAGAGGGCCTCAGTGGTGGGAGGGAACTTGGGTTCATTCTGTTCTTATCTCAACCCTTTCCCCTGGTGCTCTCAGTGTCTCAAACCTGAGGATGTGGCTGAGGCTGTCATCTACGTCCTCAGCACTCCCCCACATGTCCAGGTGAGTCTGGCCTTGACTGTCCACCCCCTGGAGGAGCCTGACCACTCCCAAAGGAGGGAAGCAGGGAGGCCCAAGGGGTGAGAAGAGTGTTCTGGCTGCTTCAAGCCTTGTGCCTTCTGCAGATTGGAGACATCCAGATGAGGCCCACGGAGCAGGTGACCTAGTGTCCTGTGGGGAGCTCCTCCTTCCCTCCCCACCCCTCACGGCTTGGCTCCTGCCTCTGGATTTTAGGTGTTGCTTTCTGGACCCCTGGATCCCACTTCCTGTCCCCACTTCCATCAGGGGCTAGAAAATTTGAGGTTTTTATATCATCTTGTGAAATTGTTTCCATTGCAAATGTGAAAAGTGGGCTGGGGAGATGAGGTGGTGTCCCTGTTGTTTTACCTGTTAACTTGTTCTTGGGCTCCTTGGCCTTTGTCTGCTGTCCTCAATCTCTTCCCTTTGACCTGGAAAACGGGCTATGGCCCAAAGTGGGGCTTCCCCTGTCTTCTTGCACTTCAGCCTCTACCCCTCTGGGCTGGTGTGCAGAGAGAGGCTCTCACCTTACATCTAAATGGTTATCCAAGGCTCCAGGCTTCGTCCTTTCCCTTCCCCACTGCCCCCACCCCTCTTGTCTTCTTCCTTCTTCTCAGCTCTCCAGCCCAATCTTGTTTCTTGGCCCCTGATTGGGTCATCACTCCTCTCTGACTGTGGCAGCAGAATACCAGGGCCTGGCTTCCAGTGGATTTCACTGTGATCATTAAAAAAGAAAAATAACAACCAACCTATGCTGGCTTCAGGAGTTTCTTTCAGTTCTTCCCCCTTCTCTGTGGTCAGGGTAGTTGTATCTCAGAATTTCTTCCAGGTGAGTGAGAAGATGGTTGTATTAGGGGCATCACTCCTGGAATGAGGATTACCTTAGGTAGCTGCAGTGGGTTTGTATTGGATCTGGAAAATGGGTAGCAGTTTGCCAAAGACAAAGAGGAGACGAACAGGGTGTGCAAGTCTGGGAGGCCCGGAAGAGCCTGCAACGTTGTGTGAACAGCACAGAACTTAGTGCAGGAGTTAGATGAGGCTGAAAAGGTAGCTCCTGCCTGGATAGGGGTCTGGGTGCTGAGCAAAGCCATTATCTGTGGGCGAAGGGAACTAGTTAGCTTCCCTTCAGCAGGGACAGGATCTGCTCAGAGCTGTCACTTAAGAAGGGCATCAGCGCCCACAGAATAGGAAGTTGTGGGAGTCCAGCTGCCCGGTGATGAGGATCTAACAAGCTTCTGGGGAAAATCACCAGCATCTGGATGTGGGGAGGGAGGCACCAAGACCGACATGGTTGAACAGGAAGGCCAACCCGTCCCCTTAAAGTGCCCTTTGCTTGTGCGTGGCTGAATGCACTGGATGCAGCCAATAGCAGAGTCAGCTCAGCTTCTAGCAGACTCCCAGACCGCCGCGGTGCAGTGGAGATCGCCGCTCAGCCAGCCCTGCAGGAGGCGCTGTGGGGACGGCCGGGCATGCGCGGTGCGTCTCCGGGCGGGGGGCGGGGCCGCTCGAACCCGGAAGTGGAGAAGCCCGCGTGGGAGCTCTGAGGGTCGGTAGCGGCTCGGCTGTCGCGTACTGGGTAGTCTGCGAGCGTAGAGTCAGGGGGGTTCGTTCCTGTCTGAGGGGGCGGAGTCGGGGCAGCTGTCGGGTTCCCTTCACTGAGTTGGGGGCCTGGGAGCGGGGTTGACACAGGAGGGAGCATCGAGTCCCCAACGCAGCCAGTGCCATGGGACTGCTCTCGACTGTCAGGAGCGCGACCTGGTGTTGCTCTGGTCGCCTTGTTACCCGTCACTTCTCCCAAGCGGCGCGGCGTGGGGAGCGGCCTGGCGGGGAGGAGCTACGCCTCCTGCGGTTGGATGACCTGGCACCGACCCCGCGGCTGGAACTTCTATTTGGACTGTCCCCGTGTCTTCTGGCTCTGCGGGCCTCTCGCCGCCGGGTGTCCCGGCTGCTGCTCCAGGCCGGCAAGGCCGGGCTGCAGGGGGAGCGGGCCAAGCTGCTACAGGAGGCTGAGGCGCGGGACATCCCAGTTCTGCGGCCCAGAAGGCGGAAGCTGGACGCCCTGTGCGGCTACCAGGTCCACCAGGGCGTTTGCATGGAGGTGAACCCGCTGCGGCCCCGGCCTTGGACGGAGGCCGGGGAGGCGAACCCAGGCGACGACCCCCAGCAGCTGTGGCTTGTCCTTGAGGAGCTCCAGGATCCCCGGAATCTTGGAGCTGTACTGCGCTCCGCTCACTTCCTTGGAGTGGATAAGGTCATCACCAGCCAGAGAAACAGGCACGGATGTCCCTTATTCCCCATGTTCCCCAACCTCGAGTTCCTAAGCACCTTGGCCCTTGGGTGATCCCTCAGCCAGGCCTCCGCATCGCCAGAACTCACCCCTAACTTGAGCCTGGGGAGGGTAGGGCGCCGAGCTTGAGATTGCCCAGCCTAATGTGGGGACTGGGGAAACTTTGCAGCTGCCCGCTTACTCCAGTAGTCAGCAAGGCCAGCGCAGGGGCTATGGAGGTGATGGACGTGTTCTCCACTGATGACCTGGCCGGTTTTCTGCAGGTAATGAGGGGTGAGAAATGAGCTTAGCTCAGCCTCTTCAAGGGCACTCAGCCAGTACCTGATGGGAGAACGGGAGACAAGGGGTCATGTTGGCATCACTTCCTAGGGCCTTCTGAAACCTTCTGTGGAGGGGAGGGTCTCGGAGTTTTTAAAATCACAAATGGACCACTATCAGAAGTGAGGGACAGCGTTCCCTTTACTGCAGTCCTTCCCCTGGCCCCTTCTGTAAATCTGTCTCAGTGTCTCATTGTCTACTGAGTAGGTCTTCAGTAAATGCTTGTTGCTCAGCTGTGGGGAGCTGGTGGACAGGAGGCCTGGGTTTCTCGAGTAAGGGGCACAGCTTAAAGGATCTTTGAACAAGGAGACCTGCATGCCTTTGATATTTAAGAAACCCCCCCTCCGGGTTTGTGCGTGTCTTCAGCTGTGCTTTTCCTGATGGACACAAGGGGGCAGTATTGCCCCGCATTTGGCAGCTCCTCTTACTGTCCCCCTGCTCTGGGTGGTGAGAAATTCTTCTTTGAGAAGAAGGGGAAGGGCTGTGGGATGTGTCTAGAACAACGCTGTCCAATAAAAATATAATGCCAGACACATTTGTAATTTCAGATTTCCTAGTAACTACATCGAAAAGTAAAAAGAGGCTGGCTGGTTAGCTCAGTTGGTTAGAGCACAGCCTTATAACACCAAGGTCATGGGTTCTGATCCGTATACCGGCCAGCCGCAAAAAAATAAAAATAAAAAAGGAAGAAACAGGTGAAATTAATTTTAATAATTTATTTTACCCAGTATATCCAAAATATTACTTCAGTGTGTAATCATTTAAGTTATTATTAATGAAATAATTTACATTCCTTCAAAATCTTTTGTTTTTTGTTTTTGGCAGCTGGCCGATATAGGGATCTGAACCTGTGACCTTCGTGTTACAAGACTGTGTTCTAACCAACTGAGCTAACCGCCTAGCCCTTCCTTTTAAAAATTTACATGCAGCACATCTCAGTTTGGACTAGCCACAGTTCAGTTGCTTAATAGCCACATGTAGTAGTGCCTGCTATATTGAACATGTCTTAGCGACTTGTCTAGAAGCATTATCTGGCTTTACGTTCTTACAGGGAGCCCCTTTCAGAGGAACTCTGGCGAAGTCTGATAGGGAATAGGGTTACCTCTCCTCACTTCCAGCCCCTGAACATGTAGCTCCTGAAAAAACAAAAACGCTGCAGAGCACTTACTTAAGCTTAAGTGCTTACTTACTTACTTAAGTCGTCACATCTGCCTACTCCCATCAGTGTCTGGGCCCACGGAGTCTGTCTTCCCTCCTGTTACTGCGGAAGAACTGGAGATGCCCCCAGGCAGAGGCCATCACTGGACCACATCCTTTCCTGCCTACTCAGGCACTGCTCTAGCAATTTTCCTCCTCTCTCATATCAATCTTTCCCTTTCGCTTTCATCAGCACGCAACTGGAGATGCCCCCAGGCAGAGGCCATCACTGGACCACATCCTTTCCTGCCTACTCAGGCGCTGCTCTAGCAATTTTCCTCCTCTCTCATATCAATCTTTCCCTTTCGCTTTCATCAGCACGCAAACAAACATTCGCCTCCCATTCTCTGTTGATCTTGCAACAGTCAGAACCTCACTCCCACACTGACCCAAGGCCCTGGCCAAGATCACCAGTGGCTTCCATAGTGCTGCATCCAAGGGTCAGTTCTCAGTCTTCTACTGACTTGACCCGGCTGCAGCATCTGGCACAGATGACCACTCCTTCCTCCTTGAAACACTCCTCACCTCATTTTCCTCCCGCTTCACTGTCCACTCTCTCTTTGGAGTTGTCTCTGGTGATTCTCCTCAACCCCCTGACCTCCACGCATTAGTGTTTGCTGGGTCTCAGTTCTTGGATCTCTTTTCTCTGTAAGTTCATTTCTTGTTGGTCTCATCTAGTCTAATGGCTTTAAATATCATCTATGTTGAAATACCTCCCAAATGTATATTACAGCCTGGATCTTGCTCCTGAATTCCAGATTCACTCATCTAGTTGCCTATGCAAGAGCCCTTTTTTGCTGTTTAATGGGCTTTTCAAACAATGTTCTGAAACTGAGCACCTGTTCCTTCTGGAGGCTTACCCACCTTAATCAATGGTAACTCCATCCCTTTGGTTGTTCAGGCCAAAAACCTTGGCGTCACCCTTGATTCTTCCTGCTCTCACACCCATGTCCCACCTGTCACCAAATCCCTTCAGCTTTAGCTTGAAGTTATTTCCATATTCTCACCATTTCTCACCATCTCCATTCCTACCACTCTGGTCCAAGCCATCATCATCTCTTAACTGTGTTATTGCAGAAACCTCCTAACTGGTTTCCTTGCTTCTGCTATTGACTCTCGGCACAGCAGGCAGAGTGATTCTATTGAAACATAAGTCAAACATAAGTTTCTATTGAAACATAAGGGCTGGCTGGTTAGCTTAGCAGGGTAGAGCATGGTGCTGATAACACCAAGGTCCAGGGTTTGGTCTCCATACTGGCCAGCTCCCAAAACAAAAACAAAAAAACATAAGTCAGACCATGTTAGTTCTGTCCTCAAAATCTTTCAAAGCCTTTGCATCTCTCTTAGACTAAAACCCAAAGTCCTTCCAGTGGCCTTTGATGTCCTACCTTATGTGGCCACTGTTCCCTCTCCTGTCTCCTCATGACTCCTTTTCCACTGCCACCTTACTGTTCCTCAAACAGGCCAGGTAAACATCAACTTTAGATCTTTGTGTTTGCTAATCTCTCTGCCTAGAATATTCTCCCAGATGTCTGCACAGTGCTCCTTCATCTCCATTAAGTCTGCTCTCAAATGTCCTTCAGTGAGGCCTTCCCCAACAACCCTTCCTCAGGGCTGGGATTTTGGTCTTGTTTTGTTCCCTGCCCTATCCCCAGTGCCTAGAATGGAACCTGGCCCATTCTAGGTGCTTAATTACTATTGACTAAATTGAGTGGATCAGCAAGTGAATTAATAAGCATGGGTAAGGCTGGGCTCTTCTGTGTCCAAGGCTCTGATGAAGATTTGGTGAGCTAGAACAAGCTTTCTGTTTCCCCCTTTCAGGCCAAAGCCCGGCAGGGCTGGCTTGTGGCAGGCACGGTGGGCTGCTCGGAGCCTGAGCTTTTCCAGTCCTCTGAGATCCCCATCAATAGCTGCTTGGAGTTCCTCTGGGACCGGCCTACTCTTCTCGTGCTGGGTAGGTAGATGTCCCTGCTTTTCTGTGCTCAGATGTACATTTCCTGAGCCGCTTGGGGGTCCAGCTAGGGCACCCTAACCCTCTGTCCCTGCCCTGCAGGGAACGAGGGTGCTGGTCTGTCCCGGGAGGTGCAGGCCTCCTGCCAGCTTCTCCTTACCATCCTGCCCGGGCGCCAGCTGCCTCCTGGACTTGAGTCCTTGAATGTCTCTGTGGCTGCAGGTGAGTCTACTCCCCCTTCCCTTTCTTCTCGCCCTCTAAGCACATAGGGGCAGCTTTTCTTTAGTCTCATTTACTGGCTATTTCATCCTAAACAAGTTACTCCCTGTGCCTCAATTGCCTTATGTGTAAAATGGGCAAAATATGCCCTTTTGAGGATGAAATGAGGGAGTGCCTGGCACATGTCAAGGGCCCATACATGGTCCTTCCTCTGCTCCTTTCTCTTCCCCTTGTCCTTTTGTCTGTCTGTGCAGGAATTCTTCTTCACTCCATTTGCAGCCAGAGGAAGGGTTTCCCTGCAGAGGGGGAGAGAAGACAGCTTCTCCAAGACCCCCAAGAACCCTCATCTGTGTCTGAAGGACTGAGTGGCTCGGCACCCAGGACTGTCTTCAAGATCAGACAAAAAGAGGCAAAATGGGGACTGACCTGGACTGCGAGACATGCATGTGCTGGAGCCAGGGGACGGGCTGCTCATACGTCACAGGCTGCAGTGTGTCAGAGTCTGCCTGAGTGTGTACCTGAGCCCCTGTTTATTGACCACAGTCTTGGGGGGCCAGGGACTTTGTGGTAGACACCAAAGTAAGCTCAGTTTTCTGTTTTGATGTTGGACTTGCAGTTGGAGGTGGTAGTTTGTTAGTTGCCAGCATGAGCTAGGATGGGGGGTGTCTGTTCTGCAAGGCCTTCGTGGGGAGACGGGGCAAATCCAGGCTCCAATCCCTCCCACTGTGGGCCTTGAGCACATGTCCTTATCTTTACATGCCTCGGGACCCCAGTCTGCACCTACCTCAGAGGGTTGTTGTGAGGATCAAATAAAACGGGATATTCTGTCCAATTCCTCCATTAGATGGCAGCCTCGCTCTTTGGTCTAGTCTTCGGTCGCAGCCACCTCGGGGAGACTCTTGGCTGCAGCCCCCATGAGAGGCGAGGGAAGATTAGCAAGCGCCTCCCATCCTAGGGGTACCCCCCCCACCGGTTACTAGGCAGTCAATCCATATCGATGGAAGGAACCAACCAGCCAAAGCCCTCCATTCGAGTCTGTGAGGTGGAGAGGACAGGATCGCTGTGTACTGCACAACCCAGCAGATTTGCTACCCCTCCCCCAGGGTCCCACAAATGGAGCAGAAGCCCCCAGTGGAAGTAAGGTAGAACAGTGGTTCTCAGCCTCGGCTGTACATTGGAACCACCTGACAAGTTTAAAAACAGGAATCCCAACACTGACACAGCGTCTGACATAATGGGGCTGGGTGCGACCTGAGCACCAGGATTTTTAAAGTTCGACAGATGGGTCTATGTGCAGCCAAGGCTGGGAGCCACTGGTGCACATTTCTCCCCCTTGGCACTATTGACATTTGGGCCGGGTAATTCTTTGCTGTGAGAGCTGTCCCAATAGCACACCCCCACCCCCACCCCCGTCCCAGTTATGAAACCAAAAATGTCTCCAGACATTGCTGAATGTCTCCTGGAGGACAAACTCATCCCTGGGTGGGAACCACTACCTGGGATCATGGATTTGGAGGACAGCAACCTGTAAATTGTAATCCTGATCACTGTGTAGCCTTGGGCAAGTTCCTTACCCACCTGAGCCTCAGTTCCTTCCTTGGTGAAAGAAGAATTATCCTACCTTCCTGGATTGCTGGAAGATATAGGGGGCAATGGGAACTCGGTGCCTTGGACGTAGTAACCGCTCAACATGGTACCCCCTCCTTTTCTCTGGAATCTATGTGGAATGGATTTATCTGGGAATTCTAATGGTGATGCCAACTTAGAACATTTGAAGTTGTTTAAAAAGGGCCTAATATCTCTTTAAAGTCAAGGTTTTTCTTCTCAAGAAAGAGGACAAAACCCCTTTATAAACTGATCACCACCAGCATCTGTCCCCCTTGAGCTTTCGGCTGCCACAGAGGCCCTGACCTCTGCTGCCACGGGCCAGCCCTCACCACACTGTGCTGCCTCCCTGTCCCTGCTGTACTCTTGGCCAGGAGCCTAGTGTAGGGGTTTTTAACCTTAGAAGCATGGGATCAGGGACGGGGACAGCTTTAATATGCCCAGAGGCACCAGACCAATTAAATCAGAATCTCTAGGGAAGAAGCCAGGTATCAGTATTTCTTAAAGCTCCCCAGTTGATACTGTGTGGTAGGTTCAAGAATCATTGGCCTTCAAGCCACGTCCAAGGAACTGCTTCACATTCTCATCAAGAAGCATGCTCACGCCTGTGCTTTTGAGCTCATGCCTGAAAGTTTGGGCTATGGTGACATTTCATCTGTCCCTAAGGTTCTTCGGAAGATGCTGGTTCCAACCATGGCCCCATGGGTTCCTGCCTAGATGGCTTCTCAGTCTACTCATCTGTAAAATGGGGATAGTGCCATTAATACTGGCTCTATCTACCCCCATCCTAACAGGGAAGTTATGAAATGAGAGAACATCTGTAAAAAATGTTCTGTAAACAAAGGACCATGCACCTCAGGACTAGCACATGATAATACAAACCTTGACGTGATGTTTAATTTTAAGTATCAATTTGACCAGGCCATGGGGTGACTAGGTATTTGTTCAAAGATTATTCTGGATGTTTCCATGGCAGTGTTTTGGAAGAGATTTTAATCAGTAGACTGAGTAACACAGATTGCCCTTCCTAATGCGCATGGGCCTCATCCAATCAGTTAAGGGCCGACCAAAAGACCAAAAGGCCGACCTTCCTCTGCGTAGAGAGTTCTTCCTGTCTTCAGACTCAAACTGAACCATCGGCTCTCCTGTGTCTCCAGTTTGCTGACTGACCTTGTGGATCTTGGGACTTGTCACCTCCACAGTTGCATGAGCCAAATTCCTTACAATAAGTCTCTTCACACACACTCACCCTACTGGTTCTGTTTCCCTGGAGGACGCTAATATACATGATGAGGATGAATGCAGGTTTTCCAGCGCCCCCTCCATGTGGGGGTATGGAATTGAGCTCTGCTGTCTTGGACCAAGCCCAGCCCAGCATGGGACCTAGAAATTGGGGTAGAGGATACTCAGGGTGCAGAGCCCTTCTGCCCACAGGCTCCTCCATGGTGACTGGAACCCTATCTAACCTGTTCCAGGCATGCTGTTCACCAGCTTTCTGGCTTGCAGTGGTCTGGGCTTGTGTCCAGGCACAGGGGGCTGCTCCCTGCTTCACCCCCTGGGCAGCAGACTGGCTGGCCTCTGGGAAAACAGGTTCACTTGAACCAAAGGGAATCGAGGCTGTAAAGTGTCTGCCATGCACCCACAATGTGTAGTTATGTCACACACACACAGGCAGTCCCAAGACAAAGAGGAGGGACCTGAGGTCCTGAGGACGAAGAGGTTGAAGGGTGATTCCCCATTGATTGGCCTCTGGTACCCAGCACAGTGCCGGACACGTAGAGGCTGCTCAGCTCATGTGGGTTAAGTACACAGGAGCTGGGGTGCCTGTAGCTGGGGGTATGAAGGGACTAGGTGGGGGTGTGGGGGTTCGTCCACTGCAGGCAGGGCTGGCATGAAGCCACAGGAGGGACCAGTGGTGGCTGAGAGCAGGCCCTTGGCTGTTAGGCAGCTTTGGGTTCCAACTCTGTGACCCAAGCCTCAGTTTTCATCATCTGTAAAATGCAGATAACAATAGTATCCACTTCAGGAGGTCACGGTACGGATTAAAAGAGATCATACGTGTAAAGCCCTCAGTCCCATGCCTGGCCTGAGTGAGGATGGGAGCTGTTCCTCACAGCACCTGAGGGCAGACCTAGTGGTCAGGGCACTGGGCGGTGCTCTCCTACCAAACTGGCCTCAGTTTCCCCATAGGCTCTAGGGCCCCTTTCAGCTGCAACATGCAGTGATTTATCCCTGAATACTGTCAGGATGAGTTGGGGAAGGGTGGCGGTTGAAATGATATTTGCAGGATTCCCCTTTGTCAGGGCTCCCTGGCCAAGAGGGGAAGGGTGTCAGAAGGATGGGTGCTGACTTGGTATTCCCAGAGCAGTTGAATGGAGACCAGCACCCCTGGCCCCCACTCCAGGACTGGAATCTTTTTTGGTAGGAGGCTAAATTGTCAAAACCCCCTCCCCCCAGGCTGGGGACCTAAGCTAGACCCCAGACTCCTGCAGGGCCAGGCACCAGGGATCCCCACAGTTTGTAAATGTAATCAGCCTTGAGGTCGCTCCCCTCCACAGGTGCAATTAGCATGCCTATCTACTAATCCCTGATTAATGATGTTTACAAACATGGGACTCCACTCAGAGCTGCTCAGCCCCTCCTCCTTGGGGTTGGGAGCCAGGATCTTCCCAGCAACCGCTCCCCACTTCTTCAGGCCTCCCCGAACCCCTCTCCCTCTCTTTCCCCAGGCAGCTGGCAGAGCTAGAGGTCCCTCCTTGTCCCCGTAGCCCCCGGCCCAATTCTCATTGTATATGTGTGAGAAAGGAGAGCAGACAGGGAGACTAGGAGGCTTGGTGGGAGGGCTAGGATCTGCTTGTCCTTAGGATCTTCCCAGTTCTGGGGCTTCTTCAAGGATACATGGTGGCCCTGCTGCCTTTCTTCATCACCCCAGCTCCAGCCCCTGGCCACACATGCACACCTTCCTGCGTGGAGTCCTCGGTGGGTCCGTATCATGAGTCATGGCACCGAAAGCACTAAGAGCACAGACTTCTGAGTCACACAGTCCTGGGTCCAAATGTTGACCCTGCTTCTAGCAAGTCATTTAACCTGACTGAACCTCAGTTTCTTCATCTGTAAAATGGAGATAAGAATAGTACTTACCACGTAGGCTTAAGGTTTGTTAGGTGGGGATTAATGATAGAATGTATGAAAAAGACAACACAGTGCCTGGCACACAGTAGGTGCTGAAAAAATGTGAGCTTCTTATTGCAATGAAAATAATGATGGGCCGGCCCGGTGGCGCACTGGAGAGTGCGCCGCTTGGGAGTGCGGCGGCGCTCCCGCCGAGGGTTCGGATCCCATGTGGAGACTGGTTCCCGCTCACTGGCTGAGTGAGGTGCGGGCGCAACACCGAGGGTTGCGATCCCGTTACCGGTCAGTAAAAAAAGACAAAAAGGAAAAAAATAAATAAATAATGATGATGATGATGATGAAAGGAGGCTTTGGAAGCTACACAGATGCCCAAGGACTTCCTCTCCCTTCACCCCCTTCTCTGGGGAGAAGGGCAGGTCCCAGCTCATTACTAGTGGGGGCTGGAGTGGAGGTGTCAGATTGGAATCATTCCTGGGTCTGTTCACAGCTTCCCTGTTTCATTAACACCTCCCTGGTGGTCTTCAGCTCATCCTGTTGGGGGAGGTGCTCCAGAAAGTTCTAACTGCCTTGTATACCCAGCCCAGAGCTCAGTGACCCTCACTCCCAGGCCTGTGCTTCAGATGCATAGAGCGGGGGTTTTCTGCCAGAGAGAGGGGGGGCCGCTGACCAGGAGGCTGTCATTGCACCCCTCTCCTGGGAGTCCTGGAAGCCCGACCAGGGGACGTAGCACCTGGGGTGGCCCCTCCTTTACTCTCCCCCACCAGCCTCTAATCCATAGGTTCTAGTCCCCCATCCTCCTCTGCATCCCAGCCTGGCCACGCCTCCTTCCTCTGGAATCCTCCCAGCTGGACGGCCTAAGGCAAGTTGCTGCCTCTTCTGCAAAGGGAGGATAACATACCTCACAGGGGGTAGCACAGTGCCCAATAATTGGCACCATTGTTGTTATTTTACAGGGAAAACAACTGTGCTCACTTATCTTTTAAAACCTTGTTTAGCTGACTGGGGTGGGTGGAGCGGGAGCAGGGCTCAAGCCCTGAGGACCATTAGCACCTCTAGAGAAGCGGGCAAGGATGTGAGCTCTGCCCCCCAGTTAATTGTCCCAGCTT